TTAGACCCGGCCTAAATTAGATTAGGTTAGGGTAAAATTACGGTAAAGTTAGAGGTTAGTTTAGGCTAGTTGTTGCCAATCATTTAATGCTGGTCAACTGATAATTATCTGACGTGCATCAGATTCAATCTGATGCAAGTTTTAATCTGATGCACAACATATATATACATTTATATCTATATGATTTTCTAAGCAAATCATTATAATAGTTAAAAGAAAATATAAAACCAGACATATTATCGAAGTAAAAAGTTTAGAATTACAATCTTTACTAACCAAAGAAGCTTTAATACTTAGCATTTAGCATTCTTTAAAGCAGGCTTTTTTATATTAGTTTAGCTTTTTTTTTTATTAGTTTGTCTAGTAGTAAAAAATTAATAGTTAATAATTAAAAAAACTTTACCAGAAATAGTACAAGCTTTGCTTCCAAACACTGATTTACTATAAGGCAACCTGGATTTCTGGATATTTAAATAAATATATTAATTAAACTAGAATATTCTTGTATTAAGAATTAATAACTTGATGCTCTAATAGATAGTTTTTTTAATCCACTAGCCTGTACTAAAAAAGTTGATTTTATTGTATCAGATCTACTGATTTTCACTACAAATTAATTAAACAAGCTAATCATTATTATTACTATTGCTATTTAGGCTATACAAACTTAATAAACTAGCAAAATCAAATTTTAAATATCTGGGTGAGTTTTTAAAAAATTTTATATATTTTTTTCATATAAAATTTTTTGAAAATAAAAATTGGGTTGCTAAATTATTTTTAAAATTTTATAATTTAAGTTTGTATAGCCTTATAACTGTAATAACAGATTGGTAAAGACTATAAATATCTAAAATGTTAGAAGTAGGTTTTTTGTAACTATCAAAGAGTATGAATAAGCTAAAGCCTATAATCCTATTAATAAAATTTTTTTGTATAGAAATTAGGTTAAAGAAGCTAGCATAACTTGTTTATTTCTAATTATACTATAAGTAGTAAGAATGTATAGAAAAATTTTATATTCTATGATATTTAAACTATATCCTTAATTCTAACTGAAAAATATTGAATAATTAATATATATATTCTTAAAAAAAATTTTATCATTTTATCTAGCAAAATTATAATCAAAATATTATTTATAACTATAGGTCATCATATGATTTAGATAAAGAAAAAAAAGATTTCAAAGCAGTTTTCAAGAGCAAAAAAAAATTAATTTTAAAAAATATAAGCCTAATTCTAACATCTAAATTGTAATTGTTTCAATTATTTATATCCAAAAAAGCTAAGATTAAAAGTTGCTTTCTATTTTTTTTCTCTTTTATAATACTATTCTTTAAATTTCTTTTGCAATATCTTTAATTCTTTTTTATTAAACCTTTTTTTGATTTCGAGATTTTTTTAAAATTTTATAACTTTTTCTAATGCTTTTGTAGCCTTGGTAATAGTAATTAGAGAAGGTGGTGGTGGTTTATCATCATTATTGTTATCTGTTTCATTATCATTATCATGAAACTCATAATTTACTATTTTAATAATTTCTTTATCTATTAATATATTCTTGGTTATGACTAGTTGATCTATCAGATAGGTATATTTTTCAATATTATTTATTAACTCTTGAACTCATAGATTATTCTCAATCAAAAAGTATTTAACTAATATATCAATATCATTAACCTCAAAGATTATATCTTCAAGTTTATTTTCTGGTCTACTTTCTTCTTAACTGCTTCTTTTTTTCTATATTTATTTGATTCACTTGCTTTTAGCATAATTCTAGTAGTCTTCTAGCAATTTTTTATAGTAATATTATTAATATCATCCCACATATCAAAAATAAAGTTGATGGCTTCTTGTAATGTAAGTTTCTTATATTTATAAATTAAACAATTAGTATAATAAATAATTAATATAGAAAATAATTCTAAAATTAAATAATACTGAAAATTTGAGCTTATTTTAATATGAAAATTTAAATTTTTCTTTTTTTTTTATAATTATGTTAGGCCTTAGGGTTAGAATTTAAAGAATATTTGTAGGTTTTAGTAAGATTTATAGTTTTTAAAGTTTTGATCCTATCTTTAATAGGCAATCTGAATTGAATCTGTATCAAATTATAGATAAAGCTAGCTTTATAGCATATCTATAAGTTTGTTATTTAAATTTTTTAGCCAATTGAGTAGAAATCTCTAATCTGGATATTTGAATCTATCTGGGTTTAAAGATTAATTTAGATAGTTAGATTAAGGATCAAAGCTCTAATATTTTAAACAAATGCTCTAAAATTTAGCATTATTTGAGTTCTGCATCATCTCTAATAATATCAAATTAAAGTTTTACCTTGTTTTTTATTTTTTTCTAATTGTGAAAGCAGATAATAGCAATAGAGATTTTTATATTTCAATTTAAAGTATTTTATTATACTAGCATTTATCAGTTAGAGATGTATAGTCATGTTAGATAGAAGAAAATGTATAGTGATGTTCATAAAGTAAAAATAATTTAGGATTTTTTTTTTTTGAGATTTTTTATAGAACCTTTTTCAGAACCTTTCTTAAAACCTTTCTTGCAACCTTTCTTGAGGCCTTTCTTAGAGCCTTTCTCAGAACCTTTTTCAAAACTTTCCTTGTAACCTTTCTTTAAGCCTTTTTTGAAATCTTCTTTGTGACTTTTCTTGAGGTTTTTTTTGTAACTATTCTTCAAGCTCTTTTAATTCTTCAGGTTCTTCAGATTCTTTGAGTTCAGGTTCTTCAAGTTTAGATTCTTTGAGTTTAGGTTTTTCAGATTTAGGTTCTTCAGGTTCTTCAGGCTCTTCAAGTTCTTTAAACTCTTTGGGTTCTTTAGGTTCTTTGATGTCATTTGTATGATTTTCTTTCAATGATATATAAGAAGATGCATTATCAACTAGGAGTAAAACCTTTTTATCTTGAATATAAAAACTAGCATCAATAAATTTTACCAACTCTTTCAAATATCATTTCTTATCCATGCTTTTTTATTATTTCTATAGTTGATTAGTAATTGTGATCGATTTATTCTATTAAAGATCATAGTATTTTAGAGAAATTAATGATTAACAGACAAAACTTGTGAGAGCTAGTTGAATTAGTACAAAGTAATATAGTTATTTTCAATTTATTTTAATAATTTTTTAAAAAAATTTATTAATTTATTTCTATTTTTGATTTATTTAGTATTTACTAAAGGTGAAATTCACAAATTTTTT